GATGTCCTGGCTGTAGATCCTAGTGGTGTGGATCAGTGAGTCAATGTCTCATTCACTCCTGGCATACAGCTTGATGTCATCCATGTAGAGGAGGTGGCTGATGGTTGCTCCATTCCATAGTCGGTATCTGTAACCACTCTAGGTGATGATCTGGCTGAGGGGGTTCAGCCCTATGCAGAAAAGCAGCGGGGACAGAGCATCTCCTTGGTAGATACCGCACTTGATGTTGACTTGTGCAATTGGCTTGAAGTTGGCCTCTAGGGTTGTTTTCCACATTCCCATTGAGTTCTTGATGAAGGCTCTTAGAGTCTTGTCGATGTTGTACAGTTCCAAGCATTCCAGGATCCATGTGTGAGGCATTGAGTCATAGGCGTTCTTGTAGTCAATCTAGGCAGTGCACAGGTTGGTATGCCTGGTCTTGCAGTCTCGAGTGACTACTTTATCGACCAGTAGCTGGTGCTTTGCTCCTCTGGTGTTACTACCAATTCCTTTCTGGGCGCTGCTCCTGTATTGAGCCATGTGCCGGGGGCGACTGGGGAAAATTCTACACCATATGTTTTACTTTACCAGCACTAAGCAAGCGTTTTAGTCGCTAACAGTAAAAGTAAAGCTGTGAATGTAAGATTTAAAAAAAAAAAAAAAAAAAAGACATGCCTCACATGTTCCCTGAGGACAATGGATTCTACACACTGTGTCCCTCAGACTCTGCTGACATCACTTCCTGTCTTCTCAGCCTCACTGGTCCTCCTGTAAATATCATCAGATGTGTTTCAAGCTCTTTCCCAGACTCCTCTCGATGAAACACTTGTGGCTGAGCTGCACCCACATGAACTTATAAAACAGTCATTATCCAGGTCCTGATCCTGTGTCCTCTACAGTACTGCACAGTACTGTAAGCACTAAAGGTAAAGTGATAACCGCCTGCCAGGTCTCCTCAGCCCACCTGCACACAGCGTCTCCACGTGCCTGGAGTTCACAGTTCTCCTGTGGACTTTGTCTCAGTGTCTCTGTGTCTGCATGTGGTCCCAGACCGGCTCCATGATGCTGAGGTCAGGGCTCTGTGGGGGCCCGACCACCTGCTGCAGGACTCCTGGTTCCCCTGGTCTCTGAACATGGTTCAGTATGACTCTGGCAGAGGCCTGGGCCCAGTGTCAGGCTGTAGGACGAGTCTGATCAGACGCCTCCTGATGTCTATAAAAGATTTACACAGTTCGGTTTATCATGAAACATGTTATTATAAGTGCAAACTCAGTAATAATAATAATATCTGTTATAATAGTACTTCATGTGGTAAATACAGTACAATTCCTATAATATCTATAAGTATATATGTTACCATAGTGTGAACACAACCATAATATTATACATGTGTCTCTCTGTGTGTGTATAGAACTGCAGTAGCAGTGAGACTGGGTGTGTCAGGTTTGTCTGTGATGTCACAGCGTTGGGGCGGGGCTTCAGTGCCGTTGTGCGAATCTCAGCTCGACTGTGGACACACACTCTCATACAGGTACATACATACAGGTACACACTCACACACACGTGCACACACAGGCCATAACATCCTCATCTTTCTTTCCACAGACTCCCTACCTGAACTATGAGCTCATTTCATCTGCATCCTATGATGTCATCAACACATCATCAAAGGTCCAACCAACGCTGCTGCCGAGTGGACACGCACAGGTACACACACACACACGTAGTCATTAACAGGTGAACACTCCACAGAGCTCCAGTCATTTTCTTTGTGATTTAAAGATGTATGTGCATGTGTGTGTACATATGCATGTGTATGTGTCCATAGACTCAGCTCAGTGTGTCATGGCGTCCTCCTGATGGAGAGAAAGACATTCCTATTGGCTATATCATCCTGTCAGTCATCTCTGGTCTGGTCCTCCTGGGCCTGCTCTGTTTCATCTTCTGGAAGGTAGCAATCAAGAAATCAATTCAATCGATTTAATAACCAGTCAGTATTTATTAGATATTAATAACTAGTACTCAAAGTTTCCCAGACTGTGGTTCTGGTCCCACATGGAGTCAGTTCATATTCATAATCATACTACCTGTTAACACACTCACATTGTGGGGACTGGGCCATCCTTGTGGGGACCAGATGCTGGTGCCCACTAGGAAATCACAGATGTTAGGGTAGAAACATGGTTTAAGGTTAGCGTGAGGTTAGGGCTAGGTGAAGGTTAGGGTCAGGGTTAGGCAAGTAGCGGTTATGGTTAAGGTCAGGGTAAGTCTACAGGAAATGAATGTAAGTCAATGTAAAGTCCCCACAAGGAATGAAAACACAGCGTGTATGTGTGTGTGTGTGTAGCTGGGCTTCTTTCAGCGCACCCGCCCCCCCACTGGGGAGGAGGATGAGAAGGAGGAGGATGAAGAGCAGCAGCAGCGGGCTGAGGAGAGTCACATGACTGAATAACACACGTCCTCACCCTGTCACATGATGATGTCAGATAGGAGGTAGTCACATGTTGGATTTACAGTTGTTATTCGTATTAGCTGTTAGCCTGCTAACTGTTAACCTCCTGTGTGCACGTAGGTTTATTATTAATCATCTCTGACCCCTCCTGTGTGCACGTGGGTTTATTATTAATCATCTCTGAAGATGTGAGGAAGGTAAATTACAGGAAAGCACCAAACAACCACAGATGAGTGAACTTCCATCACATTTCATTTTGTTATGAGAATTTTATGCCAAATCTTAGAGGCCTCATCAATGTTATGATTTTAATAACAGATGAATGTTTCATCACAAATGTTGAATTAACATTTATATTTAACCCTTTAAACCCAAGTAGATGTTAAAATTTGATTACTAAACAGATTTTACATTCGGTCTGCTTTTTTCCTTTTGCTTTAAGTTTCAGCTGTTGCTATTGAGCACTGTTATAAAATGGAAATAAAATAAAATTCAAACAAGAAAGCTAAGAAGACATTTTTGGCTCCATGTTGTTGACCTAGTCAAATCCATAAAAAACAGTTCAATCTGTTCTTTGTGTCTGTCCAGTAAATAAGCTGCAGCACAGCAGGTGGTGAGGACTGAGGCAGAAAAATCATATTTTATCATCAAATCAACGCTTGCTGTATAAAAATGTTTCACAGGGTAAAGTCGCAAATGTGCACATTTTTGTTCATTTTACTTTCAATAACATTTACTTCTGACTAGCCCAATATTTTGTCAGCCTACATGTGCCATGAAATCTAAGAAGGACAGAAACAGCACACAATCAATAGAACAAGTCAAAAAAGTACAAACCTCCAGTGTGGAACTGCAGACTGTTTTCAGATGGGCAGGGATGGAAACACGTGATGTCAAGATATGTGAAAATAATGTTTCCATGGAAACCACTGAAACATCTTTATCAGTTCAGGAGCCTGACAGACACAGCTGAGGGAGATAAACAGGTTTTTATTCCTGCTTCCACTCATGGAAAATAAAAAATAAAATCCTGGAGATAAGAAGTTTTTATTGATCCCATGCAGGTTAAGTAAACTTTCACAGCAGCAGGAGAACATTTTATCATTGTATTTTTTTATTTGATGTCAATTAATTTGGTTTTTATTTTGTTTAACTTGAATTTGATTTTGTTTTTGTTGTGACCTTTCACCTTTTTTTACACTTCCTGTCAGAGTCTGATTCTGGGTCAGGCAGTGTTTATAACAACAGAAACCTATGCATATATTTTATGTGTGCCTTTGATAAAACCACTGAAGACAAACTGCAAACTGTCATTTAACACTTTTTGAAAATCTTTAATTTAATTTAAGTTTAAAGTGGGAAAATACCCCAAACACTAACCTTAATTTTCTAACTTCTTATTTTTACATTAATTTTTTTTTAATACTTTGTGATTTCAATTCAATTCAGTTTTATTTGTCCAGTGCCAAATCACAACAAAATTTAACTCTGGACATTTTACATAGTAAGGTCTAGTATAATTATTATTATTTTAGAGGAAAAATCCAACTAATCAAATTTCAAGACATTTTTCTTGTTTATAGCAAATGTTCCTTCTACTGTCATTCTACTTTGTTACCTCCTCTGAATGGCTCAACACAGTCAATCAGCTTTTAAGCAACCAATCACAGTACTTAAAATTCTATTTCATGATTCTCTAACAGCAGAGTTGAATATTACAATGTTGAAAAATGTAACCAGTTCATGTTAAATTCTGGATCATCAGAGAATAAAGTCAGTTACCATGGCAACAGTGGCAGAGGCTTGTGGGTAATGTAGTACAGTGGAACCTTGGATTGCGAGTGTTTTGCAAGACGAGCAAAAAAATTTTATTCGATATACGAGCGAGGTCTCGCAATACAAGTAGTACATACGCGTTGTCTGCCGAGCGTCATGTGATGTACGTCACAACTGAGCCGACGTTTCTCGCGCTTCACTCGCATTCTCAATATTTGTACTGCAACAATGGGCCCTCACACCAGCCACGATTCTTTTCAAAAGTAAAGTGCAGGTTAATTTGTTTTATTTTTACTTTATTTTGTATTACTGTAATAATTTTTATATGGATAAGTGGGTGTGGAACGAATCATCTGAGTTTCCATTATTTCTTATGCAGACGGCGTTACAGGTCACTGTGCACCAAGACAACCAGGCACAGGGACAGTTTCTTCCCCCAGGCTGTAGCTCTGATGGACAGTTAACCCACAACAGTATGACTGGACAATAACCCTCAGTGCAATACCTGTAAATATACCTCGTACAGATTATACAGACTCGTACAGATCTCTAGTTTTAAGTACTCTGTTTTATCCCTATTTATCTCATTTTAATGAACATTCCTTTGTTGTCTGCATTGTTTACTGTCTGCCTGAGACACAAGATATGAGGAAAACATGGGACTAGAGAGGAATTGCGGAAAAATATTAACATGAGATGTCCTTCATCTGAAACATCCAGTCCCCACTGATTTCTGATAAAGGGGCATGTCAGTTCATAAAAAACTTGCAAAGGATGATTTCATGTATCCTTGCTAATGGGTCCTCCAGCAGCCTCCTCGCTCAGTTGACCAAGAACAGAGAACTAAGGGAGAATGAGTCCGAAATATCACAAGGAAAACTTAGAAACAAGCTGGCGTGCATTAACAGCCAGCAGAATGAATCTTATTTTCTTCTGCACTGATGCTTACCCAGGTGCTTTGCATACATTCCTGCCTTTGA